CCCCACCCCCCACCCCGCAGCAGAAGCAATAAGTGCGTTTCCCCATAAAGAGAGACACTGTGTGCATTTACGCACGAGACACAGCAGCATCCCTTTTATTATTAATATTATTGTAACAGCCATTTATCTACATGTGTGTTTTATTTATTTTATTTTTGTTGCAAAACATGTTGTACTGTGTGCCACTGTGGCACGGCTGAGGTGTCTGCAGACAGGAGCAGTATTAGATAATAGGTTACCTAATTGCTACAAAGCAAGGTACTGTACTTTCTTGTGCTTAAATGTATGGAAGAAATAAATGGAGCAAAGCAACAGGAAACGTCTGGACATTGTTTGTGAGAGCCAAGCCTGGCGCGCGTCAATTAATTGCACCGACACGTACCTGCAGTAAGTGACAGTGGAAAGACATTTACAGTTATTATTATTTATTATTTATCTGTCTATCTATGCAGTAGGGGCACATAATATTGATTTAACAAAAAAGGCCAAACACAAGTTAATTACTGGTTGTGGTCTAATTTCTGCTCCAATTGCCCATTTGAAGAAGAAAATGGAAAAAGTACATAGATTTCCATTATTTTTTTTATTCACACAGAAAAACAAAATAATGCATTTAATATTTGTTTATCCTGTTATAAAACAAACAAGTTGAACACAGCTGTGGACGGAGGGGACACGCACCGTAACATATGCTCACTTTGCATCAGTCATTTATTCATTTGAGCGTTGTTGTATTGCCAGCCTTTAGTAATATCATTAATTCATTTTACTACTTGGGATTCAGATGGGTGAGTGTGAGCAAACATTCTCAATGTGACAGTTTCGTTTCTCGAACATGACTCTGCTTGACTTGAGCTTCTCAGCCAATCACAGCACAATAAATTCTTCACCTTTGTCTGGTTTTATGGCGCGTTGCAACCATTGCTCATTAGGTGTATACCGCCACCTACTGTACCAGAGTATGTAGACAGTAAATGGACTGCCTTCCATTTCCACTATACTCCTTCCGTTTCCACTATACTCTCAGAAGTCCAAACAAACACGCTCAACCCTCAGAAGTATGAATGGGTGCTGAATCCTCAATGAAAAAAAAATGTGCAAAAGGTACAGGACAGCACTCCAATTATAATGTTTATTGCCACATGAACGTCTCGGGTGAAACCCTTCCTCAGCGTGCACAAGCAACAAAGTGACACTTTGTTGCTTGTGCACGCTGAGGAAGGGTTTCACCCGAAACGTTCATGTGGCAATAAACATTATAATTGGAGTGCTGTCCTGTACCTTTTGCACATTTTTTTTTCATTGAGGATTCAGCACCCATTCATACTTCTGAGGGTTGAGCGTGTTTGTTTGGACTTCTGAGAGTATAGTGGAAACGGAAGGAGTATAGTGGAAATGGAAGGCAGTCCATTTACTGTCTACATACTCTGGTACAGTAGGTGGCGGTATACACCTAATGAGCAATGGTTGCAACGCGCCATAAAACCAGACAAAGGTGAAGAATTTATTGTGCTGTGATTGGCTGAGAAGCTCAAGTCAAGCAGAGTCATGTTCGAGAAACGAAACTGTCACATTGAGAATGTTTGCTCACACTC